AGCGGGCTCTTGGCCAAGTTCAAGGGGCCGCCGTTGAGGGGCAGGACGGGGCCGGGCAGGGCGGGCAGGGCGGCCGCAGCCCCGCAGCCCAGGGCGCTGAGGTCGAGCGGTGCCGGTGCCAAAGGGATGGGCAGCGCCGGCAGCCCCGGCGGAGCGAAGAGGGCGGCGGGGTTGGGGATGACGAGCTGCGCCCCGTTAACGTAGGGCACCTCCGCCGAGCCCAGGGGCGTTTTGGGAGGCGGGTGGACCTTGAGCATCTCCGGGTGCTCGGGGGACACAAAATGCCCGTGGGCTTTGATGTGCTTGCGGAGGGAGCTGGGGTCGGTGTAGCGCTTGTGGCAGCCCGGCATCTTGCAGGAGTAGGGCTTCTCCACGTAGTGGGTGCGGGTGTGCTTGAAGCGGTCGCTGGAGTTGGAGTATCGCTTGTTGCAGCCTTCGTAGGGGCAGATGTAGGGCTTCTCACCTGTGGGACAGCAGCGGGTCTGCCGGGGGGCACCAGCCCTGCCGTGTCCCTGGGTCCCCCCGAGCCCCCCGCTCCCCCGGTGAGGGCGGTGTGGGGGCTGTCCTGACCTGTGTGTGAGCGGTTGTGGATTTTCAGGTTCTCCAGGCGGGAGAAGCTCTTGTTGCAGGTGGGGCAGCGATGCGGCTTCTCATTGGTGTGCGTCCGGATGTGGATCAGCATCTTGTACCTGCCGGGATTGGGGCGATCGCGGAATCATGGAATGAGTTGGGTTGGGAAGACCTTGAAGCTCTCATCGTTTCAAATCCCCTGCCACAGGCAGGAACGCCTTCCACTGTCCATCCTGGCCTTGGACACTTCCAGGGGCAGCCACAGCTTCTCAGCCTCCCCACCCTCACAACAATTTCCTCCCAATATCCCATCTAAACTGTTCGCCCTTGTCCTATCACCATCTGCCCATGGAAGCATCGGGGAGGGAATGTTAGGGAAGGGGTCAGCCCTGACTCCCAGGGCAAGTCCTTGTCCTCGTGCCTTGGATATGGGGTGGGAGAACAGGGACATCCAGGCCAGCACAGTCATCCAGCCCCCTCCAGGACCTTGCACCTTGCACAAGAGGGAGGGAGGGACAAATGGAGGCTTCCCTTGCACATCCCCAGTGCTGGGCTCCTGCCTTCCCACAGCAGCCCCCCAGAGATCCCCTGGAGCCCCCCATGCCCACCTGGCATTGAAGCCCCTGCCATGGCGGGCACAGCCCTCCCAGTGGCAGCAGTACCCCGCGTCCTTCTCGGGTTTGACGTGGAAATCGTTGACGTGGTCCACCAGGTCTTGCAGGAGGTCGAAGAACTGGTTGCACTGTGGGCAGGAGGCTGGTGGTGAGGGAGCCCAGCAGGGTGGGCACCAGGGGGACCAGGCCCCCATCATGGCCAGCACCT